CCACTGATCTATGCTACTTGTATTGATTATAATGAACAAAATGTGGAATAATCGGTGATCTTTGGAGAGTAGAAAGATAACTCTGGAAAATGTCGATGACGTTCGTAAGCCGACCAAAGAAAAAGTATGATGCATAGTAATTCATAATTCTTCCGTTTATGGTTGTGAAACGAGGCTTTTAGTAAACAGAGAATATATGTAGGTGATTGTTATTCGATCATAGTGGTATTGATAGTTCTGTTCATATATGTTGGAATGAATGAGTAAGTAGTACTGAGGTTGGACGGAGAATACTGGGTAAATGAACAAATCGACTGTTGCATTTTTGGGATCTTCACCTGAATGATGTCGTTGGGATAGTTTTTCTACCTACCTATACATAACACAATATCTTAGTCGACATACAATATTCTCTGATGTAGGAATAGATTGAAAGAAAATTAAAGAGGAACAAATCAAAAAATATAACATCGGTCTATTAAGTTATTGATTATTGATTTGAGCAATGTTGTTATAGATGCAGGTTACTAGATTAATAAGTAAGTAGTATTGATCTGCTTTTTTCAGAGAAATAATCATAGATTCAAGTAAATGGGATCATTGAATGTACACGTTGCTGAGTATAAAGAAACAAACAAAATTTCTCATCAAATTTCCTAGTTAAACAAAATGTAAACAAATTTCAGTGGAACAACAAATTACATGCACACACACACACACACACCAACACGTTATCTGACGAATATAAGTGGATAAATTAAAAATCACGTCAATAAAATGACGATGACGACAACAACAACAACAACATTCAGAAGGATTGACTATATGGAATGAAATAATCATATCGACAATCTATCCATAGATACACAGATTGACATGACCAGGGTATGTATATTTATACATACATACATACATACCTATGCATATAAAGCCATCAGCTCTGAGTCTACATCACAGTAATTCACATAACCTGGTTTCAATAATAATAATATTGTTTCTTCCAACTCAATAATTCACAGATATTTTAAGAGAAAACGTATCTAACGGAGAATTAATTAAAAGAAAATTATCCCATTTTAATTATATGTGTGGACACGGATACTGACATGTATCAGTATGAAAGTGCATGTGCATGTGTGTGTGTGCGCGTGTGTGTCATGAATGAGCTGATGGAAGAACTCAGTTGAACAATAGATAATAAGAAATGAATGAATGAATTAGATAGAAATGAATGTGGGGGTGGGGGGAGGAAATGATAATTTAATTAAAATTAAGAATACTACTAATATTATTGATACTACTACTACTACTACTACTACTACTGATAATAATAATAATAATAATAATAATAATAATAATAATAATAATAAGTTAATTAATAAAGGACCAACATATCTTTATTGAATTTGATTAAGTGACAGAATAAATGTCACTTATTGTTGTGATAAAATGTATGACCCAGAAAAGAAATGGACAATGAATTATTAGTGTAATTATGTAATTTATCAAAGTTTACATCCATATCTACTTGACTGGTTATAATAAGCTAACTAGATTGATTAGCTCAGTGAATAAAATCTTGGGATATTTGAAGCTAAAGGTAGGTACTGGGTTCAAGTCCAAGAGACTAGAATGTTAGTACATCACAGACTAACGAGTCCTAAATAGGATGAAACGCGTATCCTAAACTTCACTACAAGGTTCATAGCAAATTTACCTAAAAATTACTACATAATATGAGTTGGGAAATTCTTTAACAGATATCAAAATGTTTCTATGATTAGTGAATAGGAACATGCATACCATTGATAGAAGCATTAGTGCCGACAAATGCCCAATTTTAATCGGTTAAATGAGTGAGTGGGCACCTTTCTGTGTGATCTGGAACGAGTCAAGATAACTCATATTTAGTCACCCTTGCTTAACTGATTCGAGTGACCAACCTTATCATGTTCACTTTTTTAACAGCATTCGAAAGCAGTTAGCAACACCTACGTCTTTGCCTTCATCCGATAAGACTTAACAGACTAACTAATCGATTGTTCACATATTTTGTCATGTTTTTCATACATTTCTTATCTCTTCCTTATAACTTACATTATTATTATTATTATTATTATTGTTAGTATTATTATTATTAATGGCTTTATTCTCTATTATATTTTGGTACAATATGGAATTCTCAGCACAGGGTATTTCAACAAGTTACTTATGCAAACAAAAATAGTAACAAATACAAAAAAAGATTTAAGAAAAATAACGCGGAAAACTGTACAACTTTTCATATCAGACATGGTTAAGAATGTAGGTTATTGACTAGGTTAACTCTAACATCCCGTTCGTCACAGAGTATATTTACTATGTAAGGTATTATAGAACTTTTATACTTTTCCTTGCGTGCAAGGATTTTAATGTAATTACGTCTCGTTCTACCAGAAGAAGATATACAAGGAGAAAGATCAAAGTGAAGGGGATGGTTACTATCTGATAAAATAACACCTGCCAGGAATTTGCATGACTTTAGATGTCTATCCACCACCATATTAGTTATGACCTCGAAGGATTCACCACACATATTGCTAACTGCCTTCAGCACTCTCCGCAATACAGCAAAGTCTTTTCTCAAAATCCTGGGAAAGAATAATGGAGAACAGTAAAGAATAATAGGCAATATGCAAGAATTGACAAATTGTAAGAGTAAATGACGAGTAATTCCAAGAGCATGCAATCTCTTTATGTAGTAAGTAAGACGGAAAACCTTCTTCGATAACAGTAACAGACCAAGAGAGATCAGAAGAAAAGGTAACATTAAGATAATTGACCTTCGACACTGTGTTCATCTGAGAGTCTCCAATGGCATTATGGGATCTCATAATGGTGTTTATATTCCGTCCATGTCTCATGCTAAAGCTAACGGTTTGATATTTACACCGATTAAGTATGAGACAATTAATAACAGACCAACAATCAATACGAGACAAAAACTCATTCATTTCAATGGGATGTAAAGAGAAAGAGATAGGCATACATACAGTGAGATCATCCGCATATTTCAAAAAAGTGTTTTCTGTGGAAGATGGCAGATCATGCAGAAAAAAAGAGAAAAGAAGAGGTGAAAGAACAGCTCCTTATGGTACACCTTCATGAGACAGTAGAGACTCTGAACACTTTCCTCCAAACGCAGTGTACTGTTCCCTTCCAGAGAGGTAGGATCATAGCCAGTTGGTTATCCAGCTGTCAGTGTTGACGCTGATTAACTTGTTAAGCAGAAGTATAGTCCAGAAAATTGCATCAAACATATTTCCTACCCTTTTCCAAGTTGAACACTATATTGTGATGCAAAACAGTAACGTCATCTACGGCGCTTTTATTGCATCTGTAAACAAACTGATACGGACCAATGTGCTCTTTTATCGCGTGAATATTTCCACTTTTTCTACAGTTCACTGAATCGCCTATTTTTCTTTCTCTAATCAATTAATTTTCATTTGATACCTGAAAAACGAAAAAATTATCAGTATATGGGTTGTGGAGATTATTAAGTTTTTGATTGAGATAATGAAGTGATTGATGTTAGACCACCGTTTAAAACCCGTAAGCACTGGACGGCCATCTCGTCCTATTGTGGGACTCCTCAGCAGTGCGTATCTATGATCCCACTTGCAGGATTAATCGGTTTATGATCTAAATCCAAAACTTAATAGTCTCCACAACCCCTATACTGATGATTTACATGTGATCACTAGTGACTAGCTTCGTGAGAAAATTCTCGGACTTTTAGTGAGAAGCCGTGACCAGTGGAGCTAATCCGTGTCAGGTAGAGACAGGTATCTACCTCAATACAGTGGAAGATGATCTAGCAATTTCGTGGATTGATTGATGTTAGACACTAACACAATTAGATACCAGCCCAGTGGTCCAGTAGGTTAAGTGTTCATGTGCGAGACTTAAGGCCATAAGTTCAAATCGTGGTTGCTCACTGCTGAGGAGCCCCACAATAAGACGAAGCGGCCGTCCAGTGCTTCCAGGTTTTCAATGGTTGTCTAACATCAATCGGTTCATGATCTTTTGGGGTCGTTATAGATCCTCAGAAGTCATTTGAGAAAGGACCTAATTTTGTAATTTTATTTAGAAAATTCGAACGTCTCTGTTTTCGCGCCAAAGGCGCTCTTGTCATCTTCATGTTGTATTTTCCACTGGGAAATATCTTAAATACTATTGGTCCGTTGCGTCTTTTAGTATGCTATTTGGTAACTCTCCTCAAGGATTGTTTTGTACTGTATATATATATATATATATATATATATATATATATATATATACGTTTTGAATTGTGTTTGTTGTTATCGCTCGTTTCTGGCTGTTTTGCAGAATATACTTCCCCTATTCTAAGCTTGGACTTCTTCCTCTAGTTAGCGGAGTTGGGACGACGCATCACTAACTAACTTACTGGTCTTTGATCACCGAATCTTGTTTCTTCTTTACAGATTAAGTGAACTCGTAATCATTTCAACGCTAGCATGATCTCAATCAAAAAGAAAATTATTGTAAAAAATAATATAAAAAAAAATTTTTTTTCTTTATTTTAAAAAGAAAACAATTGAGTAAATTAGATTATTTTTGATTGGTTAATTTTTTTTGTGTGTGGATTATTTAATTATGATGATTCTTATTTATGAATAATCTAACCAATCACAGGTAAGCAGATATATATTTTTTTGTTTTTTTTTAATCTTAAATTTGATTGGTTATTTAGTTACCTGGTTAAGTTTACCTATTTTCCTACCTATCTAATATGATTACAGTCCTATCTACTCAAATGTAAAGAATATATTACTGATCGATGTACATATACTTTAATGTGTATGTATGTGTGTGGGGGTGTGTGCCTATGTATGTATGTATGTATGTATCCAAGTATATAGGTATACATCTATACACCTCATATATATATATATTGATTGTATAGGCATTATTTCCTTAGTAGATTAGATATAGTCATTCAATGAGGAAAAATTATATCCATAGAATAATAATGATAAAAATAATCCTTTAAATGAATATACACATGAAATTCAATAGAATAATGATTCAATGTATATTAATTCTATTTCACTTAGTAACTATCTTCTATGATGTAACCTGTAATATCCCATATTCTAATCAATTATCTATGAAACCATCATTATATAAACAAACTAATCAAAATATTGAAAGTATATCTATGATAAATCAACCAAATAGACCATATATAAAAATTTATGATCCAGATCATAATGATCCAAATTATTTACCACCACCACCACCCCCACCAACACCAACAACAATAATAACACAAAATTTAATCAATAATACAGAATTAATCAATGAAAATAAAGAAAATCAATATAAAGAAGAAATTTATACAAAAACATCTATGAGAGATCGTATAGTAAATTTAATTATGTCAAAATATCGAAGTTATGAACGTCCACCAGATGGTGGTAATGCAACTATAGTAACAGTTAATATGAAAGTATTAGCTATATTTTCAATTGATGTACGTACAATGGATTATTATATAGATTTATTATTAAGACAAGTATGGCGTGATCGTCGTTTATCATGGTATGATATACCAGAATTTTCTAAATTTAATGAACCATTAGTATCACCTAAATTAAAAGATCAATTATGGTTACCAGATTTATTTTTTCGTAATGGTAAAGATGGTTATTTACATAAATTAACATTACCAAATTATTTATTACGTGTACATCCAAATGGTAATGTATTATATAGTCAAAAAATTACAATGAGATTTTCATGTCAAATGCATTTACAAACATTTCCAATGGATAATCAACATTGTCATATTAATATTGGTAGTTATGGTTATACATTAAATGAATTAAAATTTGTATGGAATCATAATAAACCAGTTGAATTAGCTGAAAAATTACAATTATCTGAATTTGAAACACCAAAACAATTTATTACAAATGATTGTTCATCGGGTTATTCTACATCAACTGGACAATATACATGTTTAAATGCAACATTTGAATTACAAAGACAATTAGGTAGTTATTTAGCAACAACTTATATACCAAATGTATTAATTATTATGGTATCATGGTTAAGTTTTTGGGTAAATGTTGATTCAGCACCAGCACGTGTACCATTAGGTTTATTAAGTTTACTTGGTATATTAACACAAGCTATAAGTGTATCATCAACATTACCACGTGTATCATATATTAAAGCTATTGATATATGGATGATATTTTCTATTATATTTGTTATTGGTGTATTAGTTGAATATGCTATAGCATTAACTATATTAAGACGTAAACAATCAGAAACATGGCATGAAGATGTTAAAGAGATAGTACGTGAAGAATTAGCTAGATGGTGTGCTATATGTCAACAACAACAATTAATACAATTACAAAATTCTAATCAATTAATTAAAGGACAATTAGAATTTCATGAAGAATTAGAACATTTATTAACTAATCAATTTATTGATGATTATAAAGATAAAACTAAACCAAAACGACCACCTGGTTTAATTGAATCAGAAATTGATACATATAGTAGATTTTTATTTCCAGCATGTTTTGTATTATATAATTGTTTTTATTGGTGTTATTTTTTAATTATTGTTAATCAAATTTAATCATGATCAATTATTGATTGTTTATCGATTAATCGATCAATTGATCGATCAATTGATCGATCAATCAATCAGTCGATTCCTTCTTATGTTTGTTCTTGATATATGTTACTACTCATGATTCATCAAGATCAATCGTTTGTTGCTTATCGATAAACCGATCGATCAATCAATCAATCCATCAATTCCTTCTTATGTTCTTTCTTGATATATATTGCTATTGAGATACTTGAAACTTTTCAACTCTTATAGAGTTTAACAATCAAATATAATGAATTTGATGTTATTAATACATTTGTAATGATCTTATGCATGTAAAAAATCTATGACTTATTCATTCATTGTTAATCGATCAATCAATTCCGTCTTATCTTCTTTCTCGATAAATGTTACTACTCATATACGTAAAATTTTCTACCTTTGTAATAGTTTCTCAATTAAATGTAATGAAGTTGATATTATGATCCATTAGTAATATATTTGACGTTATCTTAATCATACAAAAATCGATTACTTATTCATTCTGTATCAATCGATCGATCAATCCCTCTTTATCTCCCTTCTTGAAATATGTTGCTACTCATGATTAATCAAAAGCAATCATTTATTCTTAATCGATCGATCGATCGATCAATCAATCGATCAATCAATCAATTCATTCTTGAAATATTTTGTCCCTCAGATACTTGAAACTTTTTTGCCTCTTATAGAGTTTCTCAATCAAATATAATGAGGTTGATATTATGATCAATTATTCATGCATTTGTAATACAAAAATCGATTACTTATTCATTCTTTATCAATCGATCGATCAATTAATCAATCCATCCCCCCCGTTATCTTCTTTTTTTTACTTTAAAACATCTTGTTGTTATGGTTATTGTTGTTGTTGTTTTTGTTTTTGTTTTTCTAAATGGAAACAATTCTGTTGTTTAGCTTTTAGATGAATTATACAATTTGAATAGAATTCATTGAATGACTATCATAATCATGATCATCATTATCATCACCATTATCATCATCACCATCGTCTATTACATAATCAACGATATACTATGAGAGTACACATTTTCCAAATAAAAACAAATACATTCAAAATTCATTTGTATACTTAATTATGATCATCTTTATGTGTAATTTCATTGGGAAGATTACCATTCGTACCATTCGTACCATTAGTACCATTGTTATTAGTATTACTAATACTACCAATATAACCATACTCAACTAAATAAACAAACATGGATGCATTTAGTAAACATTAATTGAATAATATTTAATAGTTCATATCAACCCCTTTCATCGATGTCATTCAATAAAGTATTATTATCATTCATCATTATAACTTGGTTCAATGTTCATTTTTTTGTTTTTTTTGTTTTACTGTAAAGAAATGTTATCTATTGTATACAAAATTGTTATATTGAATAAGTTACAGTAGAATCAGAGAGAGAAAGAGGGGGGTGTATTTTGTAAATATTATAGTGTAGGGCCAGCGAAATGTCACTAAGCTCTAGCCAAATCATCCGGTAGTGGGGTCATTAATTAACGAGCAAATCACCGATCCTCGTCAAGGTCAGGGACAACCAATGCGCATCAGTTAATCGTATGCCATGGACTAGCCCATGTGGCAGTGGTCTTACTTTCGCTTGTATCTACTTTAACTAGTATATTTCTGTAATAACGTCCTCTGTGTTATACAGTCTTCAAAGCAGCTATGGTACCTTGATACGTCAATGGGATAGTTCACGTAATGTGCTGACCACGAGGTGTGACTTCGACGTTAGCTAGTTTGTCACACCATTCACGTCTAAATCGAATAGGCCTCCAATTATTACGACATGGATCATCTACGTTGGTGATCTACAATAGTAATTTAATAGTTGAATTCATGAATCAATTATTGTTAGACCATCATGGATACAAAAGGAATTTGATAAAGATCTTGATTCATCATCTTAGAATAATTTGTTCAGATGACATTATTGTAAATAAATTGGTTAATATTCATAACTTACTTAAGTAAGAATGGGTACCCAATAAAATTGATCGACAAACATAAGAAGGAGATGAAAAGAAGGACAAAGATATTTACCGTTTCGAAGAAAGTATTGTTCATAAAATTACAATTCGTAAATGATTTTACTGAAGAAATTGTGACTGAGAGACTAAGAAAAGTGATACAAAAAACATTTAATGCAGCTAGACTAAGTGCTATCTTCTGCCAATACTCCACAATAAGAATGGCCAATAAAGACAGATTGCCTGAATTTGCCAAATTCATATGTATTTATCGATTGAACTGCTCCTGTAGAGCCAGTTATATAGGACGTACAATTCAACAAGTTCATCATTATATAACAGAGTACCATCCGTCGTGGTTGAGCAAAGGACAGGTAAGAGTGATCGAAATTGTTATGTTGAGTTAGTGACAGTAGAATCAGAGAGGGTGTGTGTTTTTTTGTAAATATTATAGTAATTTAATAGCTGAATTCATGAATCGATTGTTGTTAGATCACCGTGGAAAGTCTGGAAGCATTGGACGGCTGTTTCGTTCTAATATGACACTGCCTTACCAGTGCATATCCATGATTAGTGAGATTAACACCGTTGGATATCGGTCAGCTCAGTGGTCTAGAGGTTAAGCTCTCTGACGGAGGATTAATAGGTCCTGAGTTCGAATCACACGATGCGGGATCGTGAGTGCGCGCTACTGAGGAATCTCATACTAACGGATGAAACAGCCGTCCAGTGTTTCCAGGTCTCCCATAGTGACCTAGCTTGAATTAACTCATGAATTCAATTAGTAAGTTATAGTATAGTTTGTTACTATGGATTATAATAATATGTTATTTCCTTATAGAAGTTTGTTTAAACTAAGAGTATCCACATACACACACACACAGATATCTATAGAATGTTATTAGATTTATCTTGAGTAGATGGATATTGATTCGTGAATAATTTTTTAAATGGTGAGACTATAATTTAGGGATGACCTTTGAATGACTCTAGAATGACCTTAAGAATGTCCATTTACTTACTAGGACCAAATGAAGGTTATAAAGCAGTTTGAAGAATAAGGGTCATCATCAACAGTTGATGATTAGGGCTAAGAATCACAATCACGGTTTTTTACCACGAACTGACATCAGCTAAACTGCCAAGATGCTATTTAGCCGAATGGATGAATAAAATTTCGCGCCAAAATCCAAAACCTATTATCTTATATCTGATTGGTTAGTTCATAAATTGTAATCTTGCCGAGGGACGAATAAATGAGAATTAAGAAAGGTTTCCAACATAAAATGAGTTAGAGACATGTTATTGTACAATGCTTAGAACATCGCCACAAATCCCTTCTGATAATAACCATCTGCTCACTAGTGACTGACTTCAAGAGATACTCATGGAGTTCTAGTGAAAAGCCGTTACCAGTGGAGTTCAACCAGGTCTGTTGTGAGATAGTAACTCACTGAAGACAATGGTGTACGGTGGCGCAACTTCGTGGATTGGTTGAAGCTAGACATTAACACCATCGGATGCCAGCCGGTTCAGTGGTCTAATGGTTAAGTACTCGCGCGCGAAACCAGTAGGTCCTGGGTTCGAGTCCCGCGGGGTGCAGGGTCGTTGGTGCACACCGCTGAGGAGTCTCGCGCTAGGACGAAACGGCCGTCCAGTGCTTCTAGGCTTTCCATGGTGGTCTAGTTTCAATTGACTCATGATTTCATTCTATAAAATTTCTGAAATTCTCCACAAATCCCTTCTGAAAATATATCCTTTTTTAAAAAATTCACTTGGTATTGTTTGTTTAAAGCGAACGGTACTGCTTTCGAGTCTTAGAGTGAAAATCAATTCTGCAATGCATGTACATTAGGCTGGACGAAACGCGCGTCCTAGATTCTGCTACTAGTCATCAGCCAATATCTTTTTGTTATTATACAGTAAAACTGATAGTTTTAAATGTACTAAGTGCTAGATGGATTTCATATAACACATGAATCAATCAAATTTCATTTCAATTCACATTGTTTACAGCAAATCCGCAAAACCAACCATTTTATTAATGATCCACTAAACAATAAGTAAGCTGGTGAAGTAGGGAATGATGAAAAAAGGATAATAGATTTCACATACGATCACTTCATATCAATAAAACGCCAACAATAGTTCTTCCATAATTTCATCCCTGTAAGATATTCACTGATGATGGATTTGAAAGAAGAAGAAAGCCTGGAATCACTGGACGACCGCTAAGCCCTCGTATGGGACTCCTTAGCGATGTGCACCTACGATTCCGCGCAAGGGACTCGAACCCAGGACCTTCGATCTCGCACGCGAACGCTTAACCTCTAGACCACTGAGTCAACACCCGTCGGTGTTAATGTTTAATTTCAACCAATCCACGAAATTGTGCTACCATTCACTATTGTTCCCGCGCGACATCAAACGCCCTGGGTTCGTTTCCCTTGTACGGGGTCGCAGATCACTGCTGAGGAGTCCCATATTGGGACGAAAGGGCCATCACGTCCATCCAGACTTTTAATGATGTTCTAACATCGATTTATTATTTATGATATCAATCTAAACTCAATAATTTCCACAACCCTGCACAGATATCCCCTTGTACATATTTATCTTAAATCATAGCTTCTTACTTTCATATAGTACTTGTGTCTAAAAAGTTCTACTATATGGGGCGGAAATTTCCAGAACTACGAAAGCCATCATTCATAGAATACAAGTGTTTATTAACAGTCGTCTACGCAAAATACTTTGGATCCGTTGGACAGACACTATCAGTAACAACCTACTGTGTGACAGAACAAATCAGATCACAATGGAGGAAGAAATCAGGAAGAAGTGCTGCAAGTGGATAGGACACACATTGAGGAAAGCACCCAACTGCGTCACAAGACAAGCCCTTATGTGGAATCCTCAAGGTCGAAGGAGGAGAGAAAGACGAAAGAACACATTACGTCGAGAAATGGAGACAGACATGAGAAGAATGGACAACAATTGGACAGAACTAGAAAGGAATGCCCAGGACAGAGTGGAATGGAGAGTAGTGGTCGACGGCTGGGGTTGTGGAGAGTCAGCTCTCCCTTCTTCCCTCTCTCTCTCTAAATGTTCTCACATGATCATGTGCATACAACCACTGTCAGGGAAGTCCTACTCGCCGCTTTCTCGAGGCATGGGTGTTCCTTACAAAACTGAGAAGACGAAAATCGAATGTTCAGTGCTTTAACCGGTCTGGTGGATATGGAGGGTCCATTTAGGCAGCCTTTACATATGAACCTATTGTTGGTCACTGGCTACCATGAGACTGCATCTCCTTACATTGCTCCACTGTTTTGTGGATTAGACCTTTTAGTCGAAGTCTCCGGGCATGGTCTCCTAAGAAAATCACCTGCTTCGGTTGCGGCGCCCGGTTAGTATCCCATCCCTTACACAAATCGAATGAATTATGTGGCGCATATCTATTGGGTGCCTCCTTGTACCAATGTTTACATGTTTAAATAAATAAAATACATCATAGTTTGATCTATTTCTATATCAAGGAATCTCCTTCTGAAGAAGATACTTATACAATAATTGATCACCTTATTTCAAGAAATGAGTCATAATTAATTACAAATTTAATCAATGATTAAACAGATAATCTCTGATAGAATCTTTAGCACTCAGTGTAGATCTTGTATTTTATCACAGGTTACTTATTTGAACACATAAATATTGGTACAAGAAAGCACCAAATATATATGCACCCCAAATGCCCTGGTATGGCGGAGAGTGAGGTGGGCCCGCCCCTCCTCTCGAAATGCTCTCTCACGGCCACGTGTTTATAGCCTCTGTAAGGGAAGTCCTACTCACTGCCTTCTTGTGGCGGGAGTGTTGTTTACGAAAACGAGAGGACGAAAGGCGAATGTCAGGCGCTTTAACCGAATCCCAAACCAATTGTGCACATAGGCTCCAGTATCCTGAAGGAACAGATGGCGTATGAAGCTATTGTTGGTCACCGACTACCATGGGAATTCATCTCCTTACGATGCTCCACTACCTTGTGGGTTAGACCTTTAGGTCAAAGGTTCAGGGTGTGGCCTTCCAAGAAAAAAAGACCTGCTTCGGTCCGGGCACTCGGTCAGTATCATAGCCCACACATAAATATGATGAAATGTCGATATTTTATCATAGAAACCTTTATGTAGTTGTAATGAACAGAATCACCGCTGAGAATGACTGAGCCTACTCTAACACGAAATTACAGAGTTATTTGGAAAAGAAAAATATGAAAACCATATGTTTAATGCTTGATTGGCAAAATGTTCATTTATTGTTTCAGTCTTTATTGTTCCTTCATTCTCTGTTCTCGTTCTGTTTTCTTTAATCTTCTTAATCTTCTACTATCAT